CTTGTACAAGGTCACGGGGAGTTTTTGAAAGGTCAAAAGAACTCCTCCCTCTTAAAACTGCAAGGGGGCGTGGTCCGAAAAGTGGTGAGCTTTTTATCCGTTTTTTTTATCCGTTTTTTTCACGTTTTTTGAACTACAAAATTTGCCACAACTTATTAACTGAGTGCCACACTCAAACCACACCCAACACCTTCAGTGGGGGGAGGTGGACATTGGGGGAAATTGAGATTCATGCATATTTCATCATCTATTACAACATGTGCTCGTAATTCGGAAGAAAATCTATCAAACCAGTCCCAATAAGCTTTTATGATGAGTTTGTGTGCATACATATGTACTACATATGTGCGTAACATAAGCATGTGTAAATAATGGTATTCAGTAAAACCCAGCTTCTATCTAGGTACATATGTATTCACACAAACTCATCATAAAAGCTTATTGGGACTGGTTTGATAGATTTTCTTACGAATTACGAGCAAATGTTGTAATAGATGATGAAATATGCATGAATCTCAATTTCCTCCAATTTCCACCTTCTCCCCCTGAAGGTGGTGGGTGTGGTTTGAGTGTGGCACTCAGTTAATAAGGTGTGGCAAATTTTGTGGTTGAAAAAACGTGAAAAAAAACGAATAAAAAAACGGATAAAAAACTCACCACTTTTCGGACCACGCCCCCTTGCAGTTTTAAGAGGAAGGATTTCTTTTGACCTTTCAAAAACTCCCCGTGCCCTTGTACAAGACATGTACGAAAGCCGAATTTGTAAAATATTTCCCAGTGCGGAGGTATAATTTTAAAACCACACTTTTATTGGATTTAACATGTAAAATGATAGGGACGACATTTGGTTTTCTATTTTTCCTGAAAAATTTATAGCGAACGGAACGGGAATTGATGTTATATTATAATGCAGCACGCCCCTTATAAGATTGCTTGGCGTGTTTATAAATATTTAGAGTAGTTTGTTAACGTTGCTAGGTATTTTTTTTGACGTTGCTAAGTAATTTTTTGACGTTGCTAAATAATGTTTTTAACGTTCCCAGGTAATTTTTCAACCATAACCATAACCATAACCGCAGGTATAACTATGACTAATTCTTGTAAGGAATTGCACTATCAATTATACATTTTAATTTTCAATAATTTATTATACTGTCACTATTAAACCAAAGGAATGATGTGAACAGTGCAAGTGATTCTAACCGAATTGCTTACTGGCACAAAGCTACAGAGAGAATTAGCTTTTAAGGCTCAACTACGTGGGAAAAATACGTTTTTCCTTGTTCTAAAAATAGATAGAACATTCGAGAAGGAATTTGAAAAATCCGCTAATAATTCTCATCTCAAACTACATTCATAAAACTTCCATGAAAATGAATCATTAAATTAAATACCTGAAAATTTACAAATAAAATGACGTTCATACATACATATTACTTTCATGAAAATTATCAACTAAAAATAATCACTTCCATAAGCGTTAGTGTTAAGTCGCTGAGGATTATGCAAGTCAATGCAAGTTGCCCCATTGAGTAGACAAAGAAGGAAGCGGAACAACAACTGCATGGACTGTTGCATGAGACTGCATTTCCATGAAACTGAACTGCTATACACTCGAGTCATGCACCAAGTATAGCGTGTGCTGTGTAGCATAGACGAGAGATGCAGCACTCTATATAGATAGCGCATTTTAGAGGGGAACGATCCGGGGAGAGGCGGAGCGAGAGAGCAGGTGGCACGTCCTACTTCTCCCCCACGAGTGTGGCAAGCTTATATCATTCCATTATGTACATATGCATATGGTGGTGGTGTCGCATTTTGTGGTACGCATACGCCGTCTAGCGGTCGAGATTTTAAACTTTTGTGAGGAAAACAAATGTCAACATGCTTGTTTTTTCCCATATTCTGAGACCAGCACAACTAGGTGGCGTATATGTACCTACTGATCAGAGAAAGGGGGCGGTAACATTAGGGCAGAATTGCCCTAAAGTGCAGCCACTTTTTTTAACAAGGAAAGAATACAACTGCCTGTCCAATACTGATCACTCTTCCATGCTGTGTAGGTGGCATGGTGATGGTGGTAAAGGTATGGCGTGCCCCAGGGAATTCCCCCGTTGCGCCATACCCCCTCAGCGCCAGGGGGTGTGGTCGGGGCAATATGAGATTCTTACAGAAATCGAACCTGTAGATGAAATAGAATGAAACTCTGCTTAGCTACTTGGCCGCCCTACCCCATGGGAATTTAAGAGTTTTGCCATTAAGTGACTCGGGAAATAAAAATTTTTGCAGTTCTCTGAAAATTTAGGATTTTTGCTATGTAGCCATCCTTGCGCCGTGCGAATTAAACTATTTAATTATTCACCCGTCCCCGCTGCTCGGAATTTAGGTATTATGCATCGCAGCCACTTCCACAGGGGGAAATTAAATTGTATCGCGCCCAGGAAAATTGAAATGTTGTATGAGTTGGCAAACCCTGACTAAAAACTAATTATTTAATGTATAACTACCCAGTACGGCCAATTGTTATGACCAATTGGTTTCGCGTTAAACAAAAGTTACTGGCAGTTATTTTAGAAACTTGTGCTATTTTTTATTGAATTCCCCATGCAATTGTTTATAAGAAACCATACTCCGAAAACTTTTGTGACCCAAGGTACCAAAACGACAGACGGCTAGCAAAGTGTGTTGCAATTTTTCAGCGAAATTTTCGAGCGAGAAAAAAATCCGACATTTTCCAAATGCTCAGTAAAATCGGAATTCATCACAAGGTGGTCAGCCGTACCATAAAAGGATATATTGACACTGACAGTGTCGATGACCAAAGAAACTGTGCAAGACAATAGTCAAAAAGGTAACCAGAATTCATAGAGGCGAGATAAAGCAGAATTCCTGCAAATTCATGTCGCACCAAGTGAAATATTCCCCTACAAATGAACGCTCAAAATAAAACTGCCCCAGGCCCCTAAACTCGACCTTGGACTTATGGCTTTAAAACACGACAAGAAAAACTGGCTAACTGAACGTCAAGTATAAAAGCGTCTCACTGGAAACAGGGCGCCGATTATCCGGTACGCGCTTGAAAGCTAGAAACGGATACTTTTAACAGATGATCAACACTTTATGATTACAGCCAAATAAAAAAAGCAAAAGGCAGTGAATACACCCTATCAGTTGAGGCTATACATAAAAATTTCAAAAATGCTAGTCGGACCCACCATCCCATCTATGCGATGATTTGATTGGGCATAGGTCGGATTGAGCCAAACAAGTGAATTTTATTCGTCAAGGGGTGGGAATTTGTAGCAAAAATTATTTTTTGAAGTCCATGAGCCAATTTTGGAAACTCTTGGACCTCTACCTATTCAAAAATGGTGACTAGACATTCATGCAGGATCTTGGTCGTACTCATGAGACCGAAATAGTTCATGAGCAGTTGCACAAAAAGTAACACTGCAGTGTTACTTTTTGTTCGGATTATGCTTGCATATCTAGTGGATAGTCTATGCACACTTAAAATAGCTTAAAAATTCTACAAATTATTGAAATTGAAATTTTGAAAAAATTGAAATTTGAACGGAAATGTAGAAATGCATGGTTAAATTATAATTGCAAAAGTATAACAGCACCGGTATAGAATACAAAAACAAGGTTTACAAAATCAGGTTGGCAATAATAAAATTCTTGTAGCTCCTAAAGTGGGAAGTAGACTCTCTTTACTACGCAATAAGCAATCATAGTCAAACTAAAGCTATTAAAAATTTCCAGTAAATATCGACGAATGATAACGTGTACTTCATTTTTATAATGGTTTATGTACATATCGTATTAAATTCAGCGGGTTCACAATAGCCCCGATGTCGGCAATCAGTCCTCGGGCCGTAAGAAACGCCGTACCAACTCACTTCCTTTGATGTCTATCGAAAGCTGTATAATTTTTTTTCTTCAAACTTACCATTCCAAATGTTAAATTCATTAAATTATTTAAAATACATAACCGAGCAAAATACTAAATACAGTTCAGCCTCAAATATTTTCGAAACAAAACCAATATATTTCCAAATGTTTCACAGTAACTTTGTCGAAAAACATTCGGCTTTTGATACACACCTAAAGCAATGCTGTGTGTGGTACGGTTAACACATTATTAACGATTGTATGATAATGGATAGCGGTAAAATCCTGTCGTCAAATGCGAGACAAAAGGTACGTAATTATTATTCCTAATGAGGGCATGAGTAGATATTTACATAAATACCAATATTTTAATACATTGTTGTTGACGTAAATTTTAAAAATATGAGGTAACAAGCGGATTTTTTGCATGCTTAAGGTACGTCTGTGTCTGTTCCCTATCAAGGTTAGACAATGTATAAATCCGCTTCCAATTCTTAATGGGTGCAAACATAGATGCACGGTCACCAATGAGTGAATGAACCTTCTTACCATAATTTTACCATAATTTTACCATACCATAATTGTTTAGCGAGGTATATCAAAAAATCAAATAAACAATTAGGAATCACGCGGCACTTATATTTCAATTGAATGGTCCCCTTAAAAAATATCGGGGGGAAAAGTTCAAATTACACTGCAGGGCGGACGTGTCAACTTTTCCCCCCGATATTTTTTAAGGGGACCATTCAATTGAAATATAAGTGCCGCGTGATTCCTAATTGTTTATTTGATTTTTTGATATACCTCGCTAAACAATTACGACTACGGTCTAGCTTGAAAAAAAGTTCCATTGTTAGGTTAGGTTAGATTCATGAATCAGGTTCGGTATATAGTCCAAACGCGCATCTATGATCATAAATAAACGAGTTCTCAAGGTTTCAATTACTGTACTCGTTTTGTTGATGCAAAAGGCGTTGATAATCATTACATGCATAACCGTGTTATGTGTCTGGTTGATGAAATCTCTGAATTGGAATGAAAATACAGGTTTCATATCAACTCTTTCAATTCAAAGTGGCGACTAAAAACCAACCTTTGTTCGACATGTTTCAGTTACATTCTCACCACTGCGTCAACCAGACTATTAAGTTTTATCGTTAAATTGGAGAACATTTTTAAGAATTGAGAAATCTTCCAAAATGTTTCTGGTAAATGGATTTCCAGTGCGTGCGTTTCAAGTTTTTTGTCTCAGCTTTTCCTTCTACTTTTCAAGTGATTTTTAGATCTTTCTAGTTAGGTGGTTGAAATTTTGATTTTTTTCTTCCATGAGGAAACAGGATAACCTAACAGATACTCCGCATAAAACCGATAAGAAAGAATAAACTAAAATTCAAAATTTTCTCGTGGAACAATAAAATTTAAATTCTAACTATAAAACCTAAAAACTGTTGATCTTAAAAATCAACAAAAATTTACAATTTTCAAAACTCTATGAGATAAACAGGTTTCTAAATCGATATTTAGTAACACTCCCTGAAGTCAAAGAGTTGGAGGGGAGTACTATTTTTAATTTATTTTGAGTTGCTTAAACTATTCTTCTCTTTAATTAAGGTTACGAGTTTGTAGTAAGGCTCGGGATTTTTAATTTTCCACCTGTTTAGATAGTCAGCTTTTTGAAGTTATGGTATGATGTACATACTTCCATTTCATATTTTTGTGTAAATTTTGATTAACTGAAATCAGAGATACAATAGAAACCTAAACAGAGTGTTAGTTATGCTCAAATCTATTTACCGTTGTATTTACTCACACAGGTTCAAACATTATTTATCATGTTATCCATCCCACTGGTCTTATCGATACCAATAACTGATTCAAAATTGGGGGATGCTTCGTTCCCAGGATTTTCCAGTCTCGCCTCTTATCAAAATATGGGGACTAATCAAAACATAAAATTGATCGCAGCCACAAAAACACGAAAAGCTCGTCAGGGCAACTACCCTCTCATGATTTATGGTGGATGGTAAGAAAATATTTAAACATATTTAGAAACGTTTTATACTTTAAATAAACACACTCTTAAAATAATTTTAAAAAGTAGATGAATTCACTCTAAATTCTAAATTAAGTGTAATATATCAAATCCGGAGTAACGTTAACTCGATAAAGAGTAAAATTTGCTCAGAATTTCGTACACTCTTAATAATATTGTTACAAGATCATTTTTACGCAAAAACGGTAACATTATTTTTTAAGATTGATTGATATTGTATTTTATTTGTGCAGCTACCCAACTTTTCAGGGTGCTGCTGGTCGTGGGTGGGGCTGGGGCTCACCCAGTTATCCTCCATACAACTCATTTGGAAACCAAAATAGAGCGCCACCGTTCCCCAACCCCGCCGTTTTTCTTGGTTCGTTCGCTTGTTACAGAAATCCACACGACCCGAGATGTTCCCAAAGGCCGAGTGGCCACGGATGATGTTTTTGGATTGTTGGGAAAAGAAATTGTGAACAGGCTTCCATGCTCACTCTCCTTTACAAAAATAAACTTGTTAAAGTTATATCTATCTAATTGCAAAATTATAATTTCAAATCTAACCAGATTGAATACATGAAACTACATGTACATATGTATTTATATAATTTTGGCTTTAGTAATATGAACACTTTTTAAAAACTTCATTATGATTTATTGTCAGGAACGGTTCCGGGTATTTCCATATTTAATTGAATTTTTCATACTTACAATGGTAGTGCAAATCATGTTCCCCTCAGATAATTTGCGAGTTATTCAGACTCCACCTCCTCCACATCTTGCTTAATTAGACTGTATTTCGCATAGAGTTGTACTCATGCCCGTGCCCTGGGCCTTTACGCCTTTATGGCATTCCCTACTTGCCGGGCAAATTGAATGTCGGGCATTTTGGGCATTTTGAATTTATGATTTTTTTGCGACTTTTTTGAAAATATAAAAATTCGCTGCCTAACAATTTTGAGTTCTCAATAAAAATTCGGTGTACAGTGTAAAGCGTGTAAAGTGTACATGCATATATTTAAAATTCAAAAACGAATTTTTCACACTTTCGTTTTCGATTTTTTTAGTCCCAAAGTAATTTGGAAAATTAGTGCATTCGAAAACTGCAAAACATTTAGTATATTTGGTTTCCTCCCTAAGCAAATAAATACACTTGGGGACAAAATTGAATAGATCGGGCGCATGCATAGAGTCATTATAAGAGATTTGGATACAAATTTGCTAGAATTTTAGGAATTATGCTGTATTTTGAGAAAAATTTATCTAGCTTTCGGAATATGTACTTTGCATGTGTTAAGTGTAGCACCTGTCCCTTCATTAAATGCGTTGTTGGAGGGAAAAAAATATTAGATGGACAAAATTGAGTAGATTTTTGAGAGTATCGATTACTACTTAATCAGGTAAGTCAATTTGACCACGATTCTGTTTTATCTCGGTGTACATGACACAGGGAAGTGAAGTGAGGGGATTCATTTGGGTGTGAGATCAAGAAATAATTTTGTAATACATCCAATATTCATGCATTAGGATGCCAAAGGCAAGGGTCGAGACCACCGCCGCGCAAAGGGTCCTCATTATCAAGGCATGGGAAGGAGACGAGGATGGGACGAAAACTCCTAAACAAATATCCGAATTTTTGAAAATTAATTATAAAACAGTTTGGAGCATCATAGAACGTTATAAGAAAACAAAAAGTACTGTCAACAAACCAGAAAGAAAATCCATTTTCACGAAGCGCGAGAATCGTTCAATTGTCAAACTTGTGAAAGTAAATCCAACATCTAGCGGTGTAGAAATGGCTAAGGTTGCTGAAATTGCTAATGGGAAGAAGAGCAGTCGTAGGAGAATCGGAAGGATCCTTAAAAGTGAGGGATACAACAACTTTAGAGCAAAGAAGAAGAGCTTCGTCTCCAAGAAAAATATTAAGAAGCGACTGGAGTTTGCAAAGGAGCACTTGTGGGATCACATTGAGAGAGAAATCAGGAAAACGTAATTATAAGATTAATATAATTTAATCTTAAAAGATCTTATAATTCACCTGGAAAAATTAAATAATGTGCCTGAAAAAAGTTCCATTCTGATAGAATAGATTATGCATTTGTACCTTTATTTATAAATAACACAATTACACTATTTCCATTAAATTCAAATTTTAATGTTCATTTAAACTAATTTATACCAAAATTACTAATAAAGGTACGCTAATAAAGCTCAAGGGTTCATACCCCTTCTATAAGAGTCAAATGCGACCCGACCAGCACTCGTTTTGGTTTCTAATTTTCCTACCATACAACAATTAATCAATAACTTGTTAAATAAAGTGCGGCAAAGCACGATACATAAGTAGCGCAATAATGCTGAGAATGCTGAGAATGCTAAGAATTAATTTGCTCAATTAATTAATTCATTGGTTCATTGATTCATTAATTAATTAATGATTAATTCATTAATTCATTAGAATTAATTAATTGATCACACTGCGGCCACATCCCCTGGCGCCGAGGGGGTGTGGTCCAAAAGTTTACGTGATCCTCCCCCTGGGTTCATGTGTATGACCCCAGGAGTCATGTGAATGACTCTGGTTTTGCACAAAAATTTTCACGATAATTTACTAGAAATGGAAAAATCAAATCCGACCGAGGGCTACCCATGTAGCGAGATCTTGGACATTTTGGACCCTGAGGATGACTGGGAGGCCGTGGAGAGGGAGCTCTTCATGTCCGAATTTTTGGAACATAATGAGGGCAAAGTGATCATGGCGACGCACAACGGGCCAGGAGCCTAAAAATGTGGCCATTAAGGCGGTATCTTGAATTGGCAAGTCACATACTTCATCCTGTTGTACAGGACCAACCTGTCCTCCATGCAAAATATAAAACCAAACGTTACACCCACTCAGGCGTACCAGTTGGGTAAACTTTTCATAATACATTACGAAGATAGGGCGAATACATTTTCTAAAAACTTCCTAAAACTTCGTGCATGGCGGACTCCAAACGAATGCCATTAAAGAGCCCATGGTGTGCTTGGTATACCCTGCTGCGACCATCTGCGACCATCAAGCTTTATTCCAACCACGCCCACTTTTAGTTAGTAAAATTTAAAAAAATCAAATTTAAGTTGAATTACTTTTACTCAGGTATGCTTTAAGTATACTCAGTCATTGGACTTTCTCAGCAAACTGTGGTGACAGGAAAGTATTTTGGGTGTAAAAACCATACACTCTGGTAGAGGAATCAAAATTAAAGGCATTTCTTGCTGAGAGGCTTAATGGCCGATCTTGTCGTGCTTAACAACATTGACAATTGAAATTCCGATTACTTTTCAAATTGTTGACCGGAGTTGTGACTGTATTGGAAACCTTAGGTCAATGCGCGAAATATACATTTCCAGATTTTTTTAATTCCACCACATCCCCTCAAAATTAAGGTCAAAAGGTCAAAGAAATTGTAAAATATAATTAATGAATACCATTTCCAAGACTAATAATCGAACTGTATGTCGAAAAAATGCCTCGACACCCTGGGCATGCAATTTTCAAATGGTCGCATCTCACACCCTCAGTGGGTGCGGCCCTCGGCGAATTTTCGATCTTAACCAAATCATGTCATGTGATATATCATTTTTCTCATCTCGGCGAGCGGATTTCGACAGATTCATTAAAGTTTTAAAACCACACCCCCAGTGGGTGTGGCTCTAAGGAAATTGTCGATTTTAGCGAAAACAATATCATGCGATATATCAATTTTCTCCGTTGTACGAGTGGATATCCACAGAATTATTAGAATTTTGAAACCACGCCCCCAGTGGGTGTGGAAAAATTTAATCAGGTTAAATTACTGAGTTTTACCACTTAAGAGCAAAAGAATATCAGCATCCCATCAGGTTCACACCCCCGACAATAGTTACATACATTAACAGATTAAAATCTTCAATTCCCACCTACGATGGGTGTAACCATCATGTGCGCTTTTCGCGTTAACCAACTTAAGTACATGGTGCGACACAAAACCTTTATCGTAGTGGAAAGGGACCCCGATGGTCACCTCCTATCTCAAGAAAACACACCCCCAGTGGGCGTGGCTTTCAACGCTATTGCAATTTTGGGAAAGTATGTCGTGTGGCATACATATGTAGCCAGTCACGTAATTTCTGAAAGTGACTTTTTCTTAATTTACATAATGCAATTCAAATTATTTTGTCGAAATCCCCTCGTCTAGTTACGAGAAATGAGGTATTTCGTGACATGACGTGGTTTAGTTAAAATCGAAAAGTCGCTGAGCACTGATTTTTTGGGATTTCGTCGAAACCCCCTTGTTTAGCTGGGAAAAATGATATAACACATGGCATGATTTTATTAAAATGGAAAATTTTCTGGGAACCGCACCCACTGGGGGTGCGGTTTCCAAGTTTGAGATATTCCGTCGATACACCCTTGTCGAGCTGAGAAAAATGATGTATCACATGATATGGTTTCGTTAAAATCGACAATTTCTTTAGAACCACACCCACTGGGGGTGTGGTTTATAAATTCTAATTATTCTGTGGAGGTCCCCTCGTCGAGCTTAGTAAAATGATATATCACATGACATGGTTTCGTTAAAACCGAAAAGTCGCCGAGGGCCAAACCCACTGGGGGTGTGGCATATGACCACTTAAAATTTCCTCATATAGTATATGGCTTAGGTTATTGCTGCACACCAAAATCTAATTTTTCTTTCTTCAAATTCGGCTGCTATATATTTTTGGCCAAAATTTATTAAATCTGGCCCACCGTCGCGACGGTTATTCTGTCTGCGGGGACGCTCTGCTTGTCTCTTCTCGTATATTTACAAACCTATCTGTAGGGACATATCTCCAGGTCTTTCATCTTTTTCTAGTCACGTCAGCCTTAGAGGAAAATTATGCGGTCAGTTGATTAAAATAGTTTATGTGTGAATTTTTGGGGTCGACCATTTACATTTCCATAATTTTTCTGCCCACGGTGACAAGAAATTATTCAATTAAGAGAATTAATATAATTGCGTATTTGGGTTTAGTTTCCTTCTTATTTTTACAGATTTCGACATCCCAACAAATTATTAAAATTCGAGTAAAGCTTACATCAAAAAATTTACAACTTTGTCTCCACCTGGAACTGACAACGGTTAACTCAATAAATACCAGACTGGGAAGGATCCGTTTAAACAAAATTATCACAAAAAATCAATGCTCTTAAGGAGGAATGAGTGTATTTGATATATTTTAATATGTTTTAAACATATGCTTTAATATATTTAAATACATATATATTTTATATTTAATTTAATTTATTCTTAATATAGTATTTAATATACCTATACGCATGTACATATCGACAAGCATAAACATGAAACACGTAAAATTACAACTCATAATGAATTATGTTTAAACGCAACAAAAAAAATTGGATTTCAACCTAATTCCTTTCCCACCTGTTCTAAAACAGTTATAAATTTACTTAACAAATATTTACCACGAGAAAAGTTACTAATTATTAGTAGTTGCAATTAGTTCTAGCAATTAGTATGGAACCGTATAACTTTATATAGAATAAAGAATATCTAATTGAATCATATGATAACGACATAGTGGTCACTAAAAGTTATGGTTATCAGTTACAATAAGT